TTTCCCTCGCACATTTTAATTTTGCTTCCAATGTGTTTATTTTACAGCTCTTGCCCTAATGACCACCTCCACCATGTCCTCCTGCGACCACGGTGTTGTGGCTAAAATCAAGAGAGTAATCATGGAAAGAGATACATACCCGCGCAAGTGGGGCCTGGGACCAAAGGTGAGTTCTCCTCCTCCAGCAAGTGTAGTTTCTGTCATATATGAGCCCTTTTTACTGGGGAGGGATCATCTTTTGTTTCTAATGTGATGGAATAGTTGTATGGGATCTGTAACCCCTTTTTACCAAGGTTATGCATGCCCTTTTTAAAGTGAGGAAGGAATGTAAGTGGTCTGTGATGGAGTGATGGAGTCACGATAATGTAGGCTTTGAAGATTTAACATTTCTTTACTTCCCATGATATGATTGATTGATTTCTAAAGCAGTTTTATAGTTTTATAGATAAGAAGTGGTAGTGTAAAGTTTTAGAGACTCTTAGGGATCAAGTGAAGTATTGGGTAAAAAACTGGTTAAATGTTTTTTGTAAATCACCAAAAACTAATTAAGTTCTAGTATTCATACATTTTTTTCACTGCATAGATCCTTTGCTTTAATCACTCCAAAGTCCTTTTTTTTTTTCTTTTTGCCATTTCTTCTGCAATTTTTATCAACCTTCATCTCCCTTTCCTCTGTCTCTTGCTTTCCAAGTTTGACCGCCATTCTCATCCACAGGCAACGATGAAGAAGACCATGATCAAGGATGGTCTTCTCGACAAGCACGGAAAGCCAAACGAAAACACTCCGTCAGATTGGTTGCACAACTATGTTGACTACAGAACGGTGAAAAAGGAACCCGTAGACAGTTTTGCAGCAGCTACACCAGCCGTTGAAGCTATGCCAGCGGTCGAGGCCAAGAAGGTATGTTGTTCTTTGAATAGTACAAAGTAAGACCTAATGATGAATGAAGGGGATTTCTAAATGTGATATCATCTTTCATTTAGTCGGGTAGCCCAGCCGGCCACAGTGACCCATTGCATGTCTAATTAGGGGATATTTCAACCAAAGTGAATATAGGAAGTTTGCATAAAAGGTGTCATATACATGTTAACAAAGAGGAAAGAAAAGACAACAAATTATCGCTGTAATGAGACTTGTAAACAAAGCTGGGTTCTTGTGTGAATGGGGTAGGATTCTGGTAGTAGTGCTGTTAGGAACGATAAATCTTAGGAGGGACTTGAGTTGCTACTGAATGACTTGTGAACTATATAAGTATAGAAGAAGATAGATATATTGAGTGGACTTTGTGGGTATTGGTGATATGTTTGTGTCTGTCTGTCTGTTTCCCTCAGATGAAGTTGTATGTAAATGTTGAACTTTTCCAAAATTGCAGAGAAAGTTAAGTGAAGGCTCCGATGCCTCAGGAGCAGCGGAAACTCCTGCGGCAGATGAAGCACAAACAAAGAAGGAAAAGAAAAAGAAGAAGAAGAAGAAGAGGGAAGAGGAGGAAGAAGAAACGGAAGCAGTGGTGATCAAGCAGGAAGTGATAGAGGCTGAGCCGGAAGAAGAGGTAAGCAATATAAGAACATAATTATTATGTACATATTTACTAGTTTATTTTTGTGGTTCTCCCTACTTAGGTAGACATTTATATCAAGTTTATTTTGAACATATTTCTTAATTGAGTCGTCTCTATTGTTGGGAGGGAATTAATTAATCAACCAGGGTCACACTTGAATAAGAATAGGATGGAGAGTTTTGCTTTAAGGAAGGAATGGAGGGTGTGAAGTAGAACAGAATAGCTTCAAAGCAGGATTTTGTAGTTTTTGAGTAGAATGGACAGTTAAGACTAAATATCATAGGGACTGGCTACATCTTCTATTCTTTTCCTATTTTTATTTGTTTACTGCATCATGGCTTCTTTGGATGGAATTACGACCTGCATGTCACTTAGGCCTTCTTTTATCCACAGTCATTTGCTATAAACATTCTTCTCTCTTTCAGAGTGGAGAGAAGAAAAAGAAGAAGAAGAAGAAGAAGAAGAAGGAAGAGCAAGAATCGGAATAAAGGCATTCGGACTCGAGCACCTGGCCAGCAGATTACTTTGGCTGTGATGGAATATCTGGATAAACAAAAGAAAAGACTTTTATTTTACTTATCAGTTTCTATCGTTATAATTATTATTATTGAGAATATATATTTTTTTCTTTTCAAACATGCACTGAAATGTTGTGTGGAACACTCGCCTGAATCTACTTTTTTCGTTGAAAGGAAATAGTGCCCTTCGGTGTTATACGTTACGTTGGAATACACTTGTCGGTATGAAAGTCAAAGAAATACTTGATGTCTTTTTGGGGGGAATGAGGGAGGTGGCTGTTGAAGGATCTTGTCCTTAACTGGTTTAGCCACCAGATGCTCAATTTTCTTAATTTTTTAAAAGGAAAATATAGTGCTTTGGGTCAAATATCTTGAGAAACTTGCATATGTAGTAGGAAGAGAGCCTTTCCCGTGCTAAAAACTGGTTTAGTGGAAGATTTTTATGCCTGTAGAAGTTCACCAATTTGCAAAATTTAGCTTGAAACGATTCCTCGAAAGCTTCTTCATTTCTAGAATAAGTGTTTTATGGAAGTATCTAAATGTTTAATTTTAAAGTTGTGTTTGTTATGGTGCTTAGTTTAACGAGAGGCCTGACAGACTGCCAGACCAGATGTTTGCATTTCAAAAAGATTGCCAAATTATTTAGAATTGGTTACTTATTTAAGTTTTTTTTTTTTTTTTTTTTTTTTTTTTTTTTCATAGAACAAGTTTGTTAGAGCATAGTGGGTGTACAGTTTGTGTACATATGTATGCTAAGTAGCTAAATAGTTTGTTTATATTGAATTTTTTAAGATTTATCATCCTCCTGTGAAGGGAACAGAAGCCTATCGCCGTTGTTGTCACATTATTTCCATTGACAAATTATCTCTAGTGTCTGCAGCAGTGCTTAGATGAGACAAAAATGTGAATTTTTTATTTAGAATCTTTTGTTGTTGTTGTTGTGTAGAACACTTTGTTTTGAATAATTCCCATTATTCTTGGAAAAGTATTTTACTGTAATGTTGTTGAGCATGGATATGTGATCAGGGTATGTAAAGTACATAACAAAGTGTCGACCCCTTCTTCCTTTTAACCTTGTGTAAAGAAAAAGAAAAAAAAGACTTGTAACATGTAACATTCTACCCCCCTCCTCCTCCTCCTCCCCCACCTCCTCCGGGCCACTACCAAGAACCACCCCAAGGCTAAAAGTAGAGTAATTTGTCGTTTTCCTGACACCAAGACCTGCGGGAAGTCCACGGGAAGTCCCTTTCGTGGGGTCCAAGAGGGGGAGCTCAGTGCTGGTAATGTTCCGAGGCGAAGCTAAACAAAATGAAACAAACCAGATGGGAGTCTTTCAAGTGCCAACGTTGAAAGACCGGCAGGCGGAGCAGAGGTTGCCATGACGGTGTAGCATCCGAAGATCCGGTTGCTGAAATTGCTGATGACGAAGCCTAGGGAGAGACTTTGCATGGTCTTTGGTCGCAAAAGGCTTAAAAAGAGAGAAAATAAATGAAAGACTTGTGTGCACTTGGCAGCACATTGTGGTAGTTCATCCGGTGATGATGATGTTAATGTTAACTATTTTTTTTTCCATGTCCATTACTCTAGGGTTATGTTGCTAAAGTAATTAGCATGCATTGGAGTTTTAAGCCTTTTAGTTACATAGATTGTGCAGAGTGTGTTACTAGGCTTTTTCTCACGTCTAGGGTTCAAGATGTGTTCATGTTGGCCCATATCTTCAGTGATAAGTGATTGGACCACACATCACTAGTATTAGGATGTTTTTAATAAAATATAAATGTCCAAATTTAAGCTGATTTATTTCCTAAATATATATATATATATATATGATATATTTCACACTGCCATAGATTTGCAGGAATATTTCCCTTTCCCTTGAATCAATTCTCAATGTTGCAATATATGCTATATTTTGGACTGCATTTCAGAATTGTGACCACTTGTTGCTTTGATTTACTATGGAAATTTTGAAGAAAAGATTGTTAGTCAAGTATGTTACTTGGCAACTAAATCAGTTGCAATTTTCAATTTCGTTTTTATACTCTTCAATAAATATCGTATACAAATAGCATTCGAATGTGATTAGATGTCCTTTCACTCACTCAATTTTTTTTTTTCTTTGAGTTATTAATGAAAGTTGCCTCCTTGTGCTGACGAGGCCTAAGGGCTTGTGGAATGATTAACGAGCACGAAAGCGACCAAACTACTAGTAAAAAACGTAGCCTTATTGGAGCTCTGTTAGACATAAGATTTTTTTCAAATATGGGCATAGTTTTTCCAAAATATAAATAGAAAAAAATCCTTCCCAAGATTGTAGGTAACTTTGAATGATTCGTGAATTTGTATATAATTCGGTTAAAGTATACAAAATGACTGCAACAATTTGGGACAAAATTTAAAACCATATAGTGTTAAAAAAAATAACGAGCTACATTCACTGTTATAATTAATCTGCCGAAATGATTCGATACAAGGAAGTCCACAAAAACTACCGCGGATAATGCCCAAATACCAAAGGGCGGAACAGTTATTTCGTCTTTGGCCCTGGCTTCCCTCGCCTCGAAGTGGTAATCCTGCATTGACTTGGCCTATGTAGTTCGTAACGTCATTGCTAACATTGTCACTCATGGATCCCGTCGACCCAGCAGTGCCCCGACGTGCACTCGATTAACTGGCGTGCACTGCAAAGAAGTGCCCGTGCATGGGGTCGAGCGAAATCACCAAATAAGGCCGTCTGCCTGGTAATTTGACCGTTTGCTAATGGGTATGGATGGAAGTCCCTGCCAGACACCATCCAAGGGCTATGTACGTATGAAGACCTTGACTCAGTCCGGCGGGTACTGTTCGAGTGTGTGGACGGGGCCTTGGAAATGCTTCCTACTTTTAATGCGTTTTTGTTAACATGTACAAAATTATACAGAAATGCGTATTTATTAATTGTACATTTCGTTAATTATTATGTACCTTCATGGGAAAATAATAATGAAAATAAATGCCTTACTGTAAGTCTGTCAACGCGCAGCTATCACCCGGCAAATTTGACAGTTCTGTTGTCACAGGTTTCATTATTCGTTTTGGAATTGAAATTTGTGTACAGTGCTACTTGTGTTTCCGAATTCTCTCTCAATATCCCGGTGAACACGAACTATTAATGGAATTGTGACGATCTCGGCGATAACACCAAATTCAGTGAAGTACAATAACCGTGTTCCAGCTGCAGAAGTTCGTCAAAGATGCTTCCCAGCCCCACCTCCCCTCCTTCAACCATAAGGTAAACCCTAAATACAGTGTTGTAATTTAGATAAAATATTATTGTCATATAGCTATTGGTACCAGTGGCGTAGATAGGATATTTTATAAGGGGGGCGAGAAATGCAGATTTTTCGACAAAAATTTAATAAGCATTTTCGTTTCTTCATGATTATTTTCCGACAAGATTAGCAATTTCCGACAAAATGGCAGTTTAGCTCTAGAGGGGGGTTTTCCGCTCCCCCCCCCTTCTCTATCTACGCCACTGATTGGCACCATTACTAGTATCCCTGTTAATTAGTAATAACTGAATATGAAAAGATGACAGTTAAAGAGCGAGGCCATGGGGATTATTGTATATTGGTCGGACTCCCCAATCGTTGTTGTCGTGGGGGGGGGGGGGGGCTTAGGAGACAGAAAGTGAGGGGGATCACCTCAGCCCTCGCCTCAACTAATTTTGCATGGTCCTTTTTTTTCCTTTCTCTTTTCTTTACCTTCTCTTCTTCATCCCCTTCTTCTGTTCACTTATCCTAATCGTTAAATAGTTTCTACCCCTTTTCGCCACTGTACTTTACCATAGTGTTATATGACATTTGGTGACTACCACATTTATTTGGTTTAATCATTAACCACATATTGCCACAGGACGAAAAAGTTTGTCTTTCTCCGCTTACTTCGCATAAATAAAACAAGGGGGGAAAAAAGAAAAAAAGTGGCATTGCAGTCACTTGAAACATTCGTGTCGTGAATTGAGGCTCCTAACCGAAGCAAGAAGGTATTCGAGACGGGATATGAAACAGTTGAAGCTTCGAAACCCTCCTCACTGAAGCTGATTATCTGGGTATTCGAGACAGAAATCGACAGAGGTTTTGATAAGACCTTTGATCGCGACTTTACACGCACTGTAATATTAAACCGATAATCGTATACCACTTTCTATACGCAAATACACGTCATATTTCTATAAAATATACCAAGCCATAAAAAAAGAACATACAAGTAAAGTATAGCAAACGATAAAAAAAAATAATCATGCAATCTTTCGTGTTTCTACTCATGTTCACAACCTCAAATTACAAGAAGAAAAGACAGGAAAGATAGCGATAACGATAAGATACGCAGTGGTCATTTTTATACCAGTCTTAGGAAACGTGATAAGACGAAGTGTTTTAATATTTATGAAACACGGCACGTTGTTCCGATGGTATACACACATGTATGGCATTTGTATATGTTTGAGTGTATTTATATGCTTTTATGGACAGCATATGTTTGTAATTTCACTTTCACTCCGTAGGTATGGCGAACTTTTTAGGTGGGTATATATTTCCTACTTTATATCATATCTATCTAAATCTATATATTTGACCATCTATCCATCTGTCTATCTATGTGTTGAGAAGCGCTGGTGCAAGGACCCTTTCCCCTTCCAGAGAGGGATGACCACATCCCTCAACAGGTCAGGGGGAATGGAACCAAATTGCAAGATGGCAGTCAAAACCACATGCAAGCCCCGTGCCATAGGTTCACTCCCAGCCTTTAGCAATTCAGCAGGGATACCACTTATGCCTGCAGCTTTCCCACCCTTTAGCTTAGAGATCGTCTCCCTAACCTCATTTAGGGTAGGACGCTCCTCGCTGATGGGAGAACTCGGCACAGGTATTGTGGCACTTACTTGCGTCCAGACTAACTGCTGGAGGGTCTACCTGGTACAGCTGCTCAAGGTACTCAGCCCAACGTGCACGAACCCCAAAATATTGTGAGATGATCTGTCCATCCACTGCAGTCATCTGCGAGGAAGGTTTGGGGTTCAGTTTTCTCTTGGTTTGGGAGGCAGGACGAAGACCATTTCCTTAGAAATG